TTCTTTGTCTTTCACATAGAAATCATCACTTTTAAAGCATTTAAACCAGCGTTCACAAGTATCTTGAGATGGAGCATGTTCACCATAAGCTTCCTGAAGTATACGATAACTTTCAGCAGCACTTTTCTTCAAAATAAAGTAATGAATTAAAACTTCCTGCAAATGCTCTTTTTTTGACACGAAATTTGACATTTTTAAGTGTAAAAATATCTATGATGTTAGCATGTTCAGCAAATTTGACATACGAAGTTTTTGAAGCTTGCTGTCAATACAACAAAATAGCATACATATCAAATCGCATATATATCAACAAACTAGTATGTGTAACTCCATCTATTGAAAAAATCCACATTATTAACTGGTACACCTGGTAAATAGCTTATTGGAGGGAAGAGACTTTTCAGATTGGACAGTGCTGTAGCACAGTCTTGAGTGCAATTATATAATACATGCCACTGATGGAAATACATAATATACCCAGCAATAACAACAATGGAGGCTTAAGAACACACCATCAAAAAGGAAACACTTTTAATCCACCAAAATGAGACTTACTTGCAAATTATATCTGGGAGTTGAGTGCAGAGAGCCTAAGATTTTTTAAATTAAATTTATTGGGGTTTTAGTTAATAACATTATATAATTTTCTGGTATACAAAATTGTAATTCAATGAATGTGTATTTTATTGCATGCTCACCAAAGTTTAGTTTCCCTTTATTACCATATTCTTGACCCCCTTTGCTCACATCACCCTTCCCAAGCCCTCTTTCCCTCTGGAAATCACCATTTTGTTGTCTGTGTCTATGAGTTTGTTTTTGTTAGTTTTGTTAGTACATGTATTACTTTTTGTTTTATATTCCATATATGAGTGAAATTATAGTTTTTGTTCTTTTCATCCGACTTAATTCACTTGGCATAATATTCTTAAGATCATCCATGTTGTTGCAAATGACAATATTTCATCTTTTTATGGCTGAATAGTATTCTGTGTGTGTACACACACGCACATACCATATATATATGGACACTTTGTTTGCATGTCTTGGCTGTTATAAAAATGCTGCAATCACATGGCCACGATGGCTCAAGGGTTGAGCATCTACCTATGAACCAGAAGGTCACGGTTCGATTCTTAGTTGGGGCACATGCGCGGGTTGCAGGCTCCATCCCCAATATGGGGCATGCAGGAAGCAGCCAGTCAGTGATTATCTCTTATCATTGATGTTTCTCTCTCTCTCTCCCTCTCCTTTCCTCTCTAAAATCAATTCAAAAAAAATTATGTATAATGCTGCAGTGAACATACAGATAAATGAAAAGATGTTCAACATCACTAGTTATTAGGGAAATAGAAAATCAAAACCACAATGAGGATACCACCTTATACCTGTTAGAATGACTGTTATCAAGAAGATAAGAAATGAGTTTTGGAGAGGATGTGGAGGAAAGGGAACCCTCGTACACTGTGGGAATGTAAATAAGTGCAGCCGCTATGGAAAACAGTATGGAAGTTCCTCAAAAAACTAGGTGTAGAACTAACATATCATCCAGCAATTCCTCTTCTGGGTACTTACCCCCAAAATATGAAAACACATATTTGTAAAGATATATGCACCCCTATGTTCATTGCAACCTAAGACTTTTCCCAGACAGCATCTATTGCCTTGAGGCTTCATACTTCATCTCCTGATCAGTAACTGGCTTCTAGAGTACCCTCTATCATCTTCTGTGGTGACATGAATCTTATGTCTTGCTCCTTGCCCTTTCTCCTCTTTATTTCTGACTCAGACAAAGAAACATTGCAGGGTTTTTTCAGTTCCATTATAAGGTATCTTTTACTAGTATGGGAAATGTAGAATATCCAAATGGAAACTTAGATCATTAGTCACTGAAATTTATTGACCAACACTGTGCAAAGGTTGAGGATAAACATATTGTTAACAGAGTTAGTGTTCTTTGGTCATGGTAGTTAGCAACCCCATTTATCTCTTACATACTACCAGTTAAATAGACTTAAAACTCGCTTAGTTCCTCTAATTTATCCTGCATAAGTAATTTAGATTTTATTTTAACTTTCTATTGATGTTCTCTCAACTTTCAAAAATTGAGGTATAATTTACATCTATAGTAATAAAAGCGTATTATGCTAATTAGACTGACAGCTGAACGACCTTCCGGATGAAGCCGGGGCTGCAAGGGCCGAGCCACTTGCACGAATTTTGTGCATCAGGCCTCTAGGTTAATAATATACATAGATCTTAAGAATTCAGTGGATTTTGACAGTTGTATACATCTTGTAACCTCTGTTGGCTTTTGAGTGGGAAAGGTTTATAAAATGATGTTGAATTTGAAGACATGATGTTGAGGTGCATCTGTGAAGGCTGAAGTGCTCTATACACACTTACTATGAACTTCAACAACTGAAGCTCTCAACCTACCAACCCTGATTCAACATTAAACTATTTACCCTACTGCAAATCATCTGATATTAGGCATTAATGCTTATAATTGTCCTTTGTTTCATCATAGATAAAGTTAGTCTTTATATTATTTTCTTCACATTTCTAATATGTACACTCCCTATATCCTTATGCCATGTACTTAGTTTAAGTTACTATGTCATGGTTTGCCCACCTGGTTGCCTGTTCTGAGGCATGTGTGCCATTTTAAAAGCGCTTTAGCAGGTTTTTAGAAGTCCTAAATTAGTTAAAGAATTCCAGGACTGAAAGGAACCTCAGCATTAGCAACCTTTTTCATCACTCTAATGGGTCTAAACTAATGGGCTCTATTTTTGTCAGGATATGCCCAGAGAAAATAATTTCATGTCTTCCTAGGGTTGTAAATTCTTAATGAAGCCTGATCTGTCTTTCAATATTTTACTAAATCCAGTTTGCTTTGCTGAACTCATCTTGGATTATGTTTTATCCTGCAGTGAAATATGTTCCAAAAATACTTTTTATTTAAAAAAATGTCTCTGGCTTTTACATTGTTCTTTTCAAACCATTTTCACCTAGATAAATAGTGATGGGTCAAGATGTACTATCCTTTTAAATTTGGCAAATAAGGACATAAACATCTGATTTTTCTCTTTCAGCATTTTATTTTTTCTTAAGAAACAAGGTATTTACCTAGATGTTGGTCTTTTTTTTTTTTTAACATTTTTATAGATTTCAGGGAGGAAAGGAGAGGGAGAGAGAGATAGAAACATCAATGGTGAGAGAGAATCAATGATTGGCTGCCTCCTGCACGTCCCCTACTGGGGATCAAGCCTGCAACCCAGGCATGTGCCCTTGACCGGAATCAAATCTGGGACCCTTCAGCCCGCAGGCCAATGCTCTATCCACTGAGCCAAACCAGCTAGGGCTGGCCTTTTTCAAGTATATGTTTTTCTCCCTTTGAATGAGGTTGTATGCCAGAGTTGAATACTTCTGAGCAAAAGAAGATTAGAGTAGGAAAACCTTGAATTAGAAAGAGCTGCTATGTGGAAAAACTGTTACATGTCAAAGTTAGCAGTTAAGGAGAGCATGTTAAATTAAGATATAAAGAAAGAAACATAATATTAAAAACTAATAAAACTGGTTTATAGACCTATTTTTAGTCTAGCAAATTAAGTGGTAGGTATTCTCATTTTACCTTTAAGTTCTGGTAGAACATTGAATTTTCTACTAGATAAGATGCTCTAAAACTGTAGTGCTTTACACTTTTCAGAGTTGTTTTTTTTTTTTGGTGGTTTTTTTTGTACTTTTATTTATACTTTTTAGAGCTTTCAACATGACACAACACATAAATCTCACATTGACTGTGTGAAATAGGACAAGTGATAAATTTCCAACTAAAGATGAAAAATTCGGGCCCACATGCTTCTGAGGGATATTTTAAGGTTATATGGCAGGTTAGTTATATTAACTCTGCAACTTCAAGAAACGCAAAGGGTAAATTAAATTAAACATTAATGCATTAGTTCAACCGCCTATGGTTTTAATGTCTGTATATGACCTTTAAAAATACTCATTTTTTTTCTTTCTTTATTAAGGTATTACATATGTGTCCCTATCCCCCCC